TAAAAGTGAGTGCCTCTAGATGTTAAAAAAAATTGTTTTTACAAAACTTTTCTATTTTTATATTCTACAAATTTGACCCTCAGGCTAAGCAAAAAAAAATTTTTTCGTTCCACCCTAATGTACATTAAACCTTTTAGAGGACGGGCCCACGCCCTTTTTTTTTTGAATATTATAGCCCACATGTGCTTCTTGCTACTGCGATCACGTGTGCCGAGTTACAGTCCTATGTTGCAAGAGTATAACTATAATAAATTCACATTCGAGTATAAACTCATCGTTATATGAAGGCTTTGTGTTTTACGAACCAATTCAACTCACTTGCAAAAAAAAGTTCAATGAATAGTAATGAAAACTTATGACCCCTTCAAACGGCACCACCCATGTAGTTGCTCGCTATTTGTTGACGCTCTTTTATCACACCCAGAAGAACTGTAGAAATGAAAATGCTGCTCACAAAACATTGCAGATTTTGTACTTAAATCTCAAATTCTTTAACATTCAACGAATTCCACCCGTTAACATAGCATACACGCCAGCAAATCCCTTTCGCGGCACACAATAGCTGAATGCGAAGCGCAAAATGAAACCGCAAATTCACCTTAAATGCAACCATTTAATCGAAGTGAAAAAATGCCAGCTATGCATTTATTTATACGGATGCGTATTGTCCCACTTTTTACACGATCATGTGGTTGTTGGCACCGAAATGCGCTAGTGATAGCATACAATGATGGCATGTGTGGTATATGGCGGTGTACTCCCATGTATACTTGCATGGTTACCTATATATATATATATCATATAAATTTTTATAAGAATACTCAAAAAGTTGCTTGAAAAGAAAATCGTCATTGTTGCGTTCAAGCCGACATTAAATGCGAGTACATGCATGCCAAAGCGCATACCTCCATACAGTTGCGGTCACATTAATAGGTGTGAACCAACCCTAAAAATAAAATGAGATATTCCCCAATACCTACATACATATATCTCCCAAAAATTTCTTTTAACACAAAATAACATCCGATTTATGCTTTTGGGTTAATTACTTGGCTATTTGGGTATTGTTAAATATTTTAGATCAAAATAGTAAAGAATTTAAATAATATCATAAGAGACTTAATCGATCACCATAATGTAATTATTATACTCTGTTCCTTAGGCATACACTGCTTTCCTCACGAAAATATTAACCAAAAATAAAGTGTTTGTTTAAAGAAAAATTTCATTTCCTGTGCTGCTTTCGATCCAACAAGCATTAGAGAGTACCTAGTCAAACAAACTATATGATTTATCCAGGCAATTTTGTGCTAAAATGCTTCTTTGCGTGCTAAGTATAAGATTTTGGTAACACTTTGATTTCGAGTAGCATTCATCTCTCTTTCTTCAAGTACTAAGCTCATAAATATTGTTAAATATTCTAATATCAATAAAAACTGTTGTATTTTCATTTTAGTTAGTGAACATTTAAGCTAATTTACATTTATAGTAAAACTGGTCTAAAATTAGTAGAACAAAACTTGGTAGTATTGAAGTTAGCGCGTATAAGACACTTTGTTATTGCTTTCATATGCAGAACTTTTGACAATAGAGCATCGCTCAAAAATAGCGAAAACTGAAATGGTGAATCCAAGACGACTCATATTTAATTTCTAAAATTTCCTATATCTCACAGTTCCATCTTTCTTCTATCTTTAAGCAAAACATCTACTATTTGTGAGATGCCGATTCATAGAATGAAGGTAAAATTTGTTAGCTACGATATTATAACTATTGAATAAATTTTACTGTCAGTTGCGCCTATTATTCTGACCACCGCTGTAAACATTATAGTGTATTTCATGAAAGAATTCGGCATTGCCACACAGCCTTTGGAAAGAAATGAGTGAAATTTTTAATTAACAAATAAATATGTACCCATTGTAAATTTATATATATATGTATGTATAGAGGTACGTCTGTGTACTGCTCGCATATGCGTGGAGACTTGGACATATGTACATATATGTAATGTAAAAATTACATCAGCCCACAAAAAGCGGCAGATATGTGAGCATGTGTTTAAGTATGTAGGCATGTGTATATGTATAGATACATATAAGTTTGTATACATTCTGGACAAAAATAAAAACTGTAGCGACGTATATCCACACATACATATTTATATGTATTATTCAAACACACACACACATGAGCATGCAAATATGCCACATTAAACCCACCCACAGTTGGCAATGTTATTTTCCTTTCTCATGCATGCAACTACAATCCGTCGACGCATTTCCGCTGCAATTACCAACGGGTATTTCGCGCGCATAACCTACCTTTAAACACTTGTTTGCTCGTTTGTTTGTGTGTGGGAGTGTGTATGTGTGTGTTTGGTAGTTTTTTTGAATGGCAGTCAACCAAGGCACACCGAAATGCAGAAGTGCTGAAATGAAATAAAAGCGGCGTCAACACTTATTTCCTATCAACGGCACATACATATATACTTGGGAAATATTATTGCGTATGTATGTATGTTTATAGTATAGCATAGTGTATATCTGCAGCAGCAAGGCACTGACTTTTCCCCATTTTTGGTTTAATTTCATTTATTTACACATTTTTATGTAGTTCACACACATTCAAGCTTCAAAACAAATACATGTAGACTAAAGTATGTATTATATATAAATATATATATATCTATATATATACTATATGTGTGTTAGCGCAATTTCTGCTGGCTGTAGAACACTCCTTGCCCATAAATATCGCCCGTGCAGCGCAGCTTCAGCCGCTCACTTCAATGCGGCTCAGCACTTTCGCCTTGATTATTTATTTGCCGGGGGAATTTCGTTGGTTGTTTCTCTTAATTTTTATTTCTTCCAGTTGGCTTGTCATAATTTCTTTCATTTTCACCTATTTTTCCTCATTTTTTTGCAATTTTCTTTTATTTGTTTACTGCCTAGATTCGGCGCGCTATCATTAACTACAATACACCTGCTCACCTCACACACACAAACATCTACAAACCCAAAAAATCCCTCCAGTGTTTATATATGTATATGTACATGCGCAGGTGCATAGCAGAGTGTATCATGTTGTTGTTCTTCCGGTTTGGAAAGGATAATTGTCGTACATTAAAAATCATAAGAAGCACCAGCTCGGCAACTTGCCAACCAGCCAACTTAACGGTGTTGTTTAATGAAATGCTTAATTAAGTATTTACACACATATTAATCCATGCAAATGTAGTGGTGAAGGTTTTTCGGTCGGCTGCCATGTGTTTTCTCCTATGTGTGGTATTTAATGGTTTTTACTTCTGTGTATGGTGGCTCCTCTCCAGTGAGGGAATACTGATTTTTAGCTTTCGGCTTACGATTTTCTTTTATTTTGTTATTTAAATGCTGCGGTAAAACTGCATACTCATTGGTATTTATTGCATTTTCAATTATGAATAACACTATTTATCTTATAAAAGAATTGATCGTGTCGTATCAGCTCGTTTAATTGTCTATAAAGTGGTGATATACCTGAAGAGGAAAAAATTTACAAATATAAAAAAAAAACGCCACGCCATACCATAACGACCCTGCTTTTAAAAATTTCATTGAAAACTACTACAGAACCACTGCAATTCATTTTATAATCATAAATTTAAAAAAAAAAAAATAGTACGATATATGTTTCGTTTTTTTAAACTCTTTTCCAACATTTTCTTCTAAATAACGCATTTTTTCGTAAAAATTCAGTAATCGATATTACATAGTGCTGAACAAAAGCAAAGAGTGTTATCAATTTGAAAATAAACGCCATGAGTTCTGAAATTTTGCAGATTTTAATTTCAAACTCGACTTTTTCCCGATGATGGGTATCGAGGTATATGCAGAGGAGGTCTAAAACAAGGCTTGGTTATCTAAATATTATATCCAGCTCTTAAGGGTGGACTCGGGTTTTGGGAGTTTGATCTTATATAATATGTTGTACAAATCGGACAAGTAGCTACTCTCAGTATCGTTTATTTGCTTCACTCTCATAGAAAATTATGCCTTAGTCGTTCTTATAGCGACAAAAAACTTTTCCGAAATAATTTTGCAAAATAGTTCTGATTTTATTGTACTTGGTAAAGATCTGAATTTCGGATCTGTTACAGGTCCGTTCCGATTGCGTAGACATGAGAACAATTATGCCGTAATTCCTTAATGATCTTTATTATTGATATTGATTTGTAAATTCAGTTGAAGCTGCCGTTTTGAGTTTCAAATTCCTTCTGCACTAAAGTCTAGATTTGTTGTGAAGCATATAATTTTTATAAAAAAACTTAATGATTTTTGATTTAAGTGATCTATTGAACTACTTATCCCATACTGAAATATTGTAACCTTTTTCACTCTTCCGAAATCTGATATTCTTATGAGACAGCTGCGAGAAATCGCAAAAGCCCTTCTTTGTACACATTGACTTGCAATTATATCATTATTCCGTTATATCGTTTAAATTAGCTAGATCTGACATAAATTCTCGAACGCTGATCTCGATTTATTTGGACTAAATAACTCCACTTTCAAACCAATAAGTTCAACGTCGATTGATTAGGAAAGACAGATCACTATGAGGCTTATTATTATTATTTCTGATTAGTTGCTGATACCACTATGATTTTCAGATATCGCAGGGGAAGCTTATTTCTCAAAATGGTATTGCTTAATAGAGATTTTGAACACTGCATAAAATCTTAGTAATAAGGTGGTACAAATCGGAAAATGAAAGTCACGCTAACCTTGAGTTTTAAAATAGTTGGCTTGTAAAGCTAGAGAACTAGCACGAGTATATAAACCAATCTATTTAAATCTCATCTGAGTAAAAAAGATTATACTTACGTTAACTTTATCTCATTCTGCTCGTAAAAATTTAACGCTTTGCTTGCAATATTTTTGTTTCCATTTCTCCACACTTGATTCTAGCTAACGCATCTGTTCTAATATGCATTTTTTTTCTTATTTCGTAATCAACAGGGCATGTTGGTGGTTGTGGCATTACCGAGGAAGTTTCCCAATGGATGGAGAGCATACAAAATTCTGCCGTCGAAGAGTTGCCGGAACCGATGTCGAAGGACGATGTTAGACAGCAAAAGCAACAGCACAAATTAATCAAACCGAATAGCGCGCGAATGACACAGACGCAAGATGCAGCAGAACAAGTTGGAGATAATGCTGCACAACCGACAAACAAGAAGCATAAAAAGCCTACTGCCGCATCAGCAACAGCAACAGCAACAGGCGGAATAAACTCGCAACAGCGTCCACCGAAAAAATACTCAAGTCCCACAGCAGCAGCCTCAACGACGTCGTCATTGCCAACAGCGAGCGGTAACTCAAGGACAGCCAAGGATGCCGCCAGCAGCAGCATTGGCGAGGATGACTTCAAATATCCTTATCAAAAATACTCCAAAGCTGCAAATTTTCGCTTCGATGATGACGGTGACGCGTGGCGGCCATTTTCGCCGAAGGCACAATCCGATGATATTTATGGCCTGCCAAGCGGCAGCGGTAGCGGCTACTCTGGTGCATTTTATGACCCGGAAACAGGGCGCAAGTATACGCCGCAAAGCATGGATCGTGACGAATGGCATGCGAAGGTGCATGAACGTGTGCGCCGCGCTACCGCCGCTAATCCGAACGAGAACAAGAATACCTGTTCACTGTACATACAAACGGATCCGTTGATTTGGCGACATATACGCGAAGGAATTGCTGATGTAAGTATAAAATAGACGTAAATACTTACTTTGCATAAGTGACACCAAGTGTGTGCATATTTATGGTGGCGCAACCCTTTAGGAAATCCACTACTTCCGCTGTGCCTGGGCCTGGAGCCTACACCAATATTGAAAACTGTATACTCTTCTATACCCAGTGTGCTTTTATGCTTCGACGCTCCTTCAGCTTTATGAGTGAGAATCGATGATTCTGAAAAACATTTTCTTTAAAACTAAGTAGTCATTGTACTAGTTCTGAATTAGTTCTCAATAAATACTGCTTACATTTACACGATACTTTGTTAAACATTTTACACTCTCATCCTTTTATCATTTTTGGTCCTCTTAGCTAGAAATTGTTTGTTTCCTGTCTTGTCTAAAACCCTTGTTTTTGTAATTGTTTATCCCTTTTGTGCTGACTGCAAAATATCCGCTTGTTTACTACACTATTTTTGACAACGCCAGATTTTGCATAAATTTGTTCAGCTCATGCGATTGACAGTATATAGATGGCACAGCTCTACGCGGGTAAAAGAAGTGGCGCAAAGAGAAAAAATCGTTGTGTTTGCGGAATGATTTAACTGTGTTTTAAAGGGATATACTTGTATAATATGTATATGTATATACAAAAGTATGTATGGACATGTATTAATATAGGAATGATGGCAGAGGCCGTTTCTTGCATGACTTTGCATGTGAGAACGCTTAAAAATTTTGGTGGCAGCGCAGAGTTGGCTTTATGGAAAATGCAACCTCAAAACGATGTGATTTAAAAGTTTTTAGACTAAGTAGCTAATGCTTCGGCTTTAACATTTTTTTTATACAGAAACTAAAATTTATCTATGGAAAAACATCCCCATATTGATTTTGGTACACCTTTTCTTTTTTGTTTTTGTTTTTGAGAATGTGGATTTAAAACCAAGGAAGTGGTCGCCTCGCTAATTCCCAACTGTTACATACAAAATATGATGTATCTACCTCTCCTTTATACTTGTACTTCAGACCATTGTTTCTAAATTTGTTTTATATTAGTTAGCGCACACTGAGAAGTAACCTTAAGAAGTACATGCGACCAGTTAGTTTCAGTGAGCATCCCATATATGTAAAATAAAAAGCTAAAAATGTATCTGAACTAATTTTTTGGAACCAACTCTTTATGGATTCGGTTGCGTCTAACTAAGATGCTCATAATTTTCTCGTCGTATTAAGAGATTACATGAGTTTCCTCGAGCAAAAAACGGTATATTTTTAATAATTTTTTTTTTTCGTATAAATAATGAAATATTTTATTCAAATTTTTTAATAATTTAAAGATATATATTTTACAAAGATTTTGTGAAATTTTGAAATTAAAATATTCAAAACTCACCTCGGAAAAAGATGCCTTCGCGTTGACAGCAGAACTTCTTACAGGTTCATCCGAAATAAAAAGAAAATTATACATGTTTTAACTAAGACCATAACCTAAGTATTGCATCTTATTTATTTACTGGCTTTGCAAGGGCTTCTATTATTTTGCAATCTCACAAAACTTTTGACCTCGATTTTTTATACTCTGAACAGGGTATATTGAGTTTGCCACGAAGTTTGTAACACTCACCAGAAGGTGTCGGAGACTTTATAAAATGTATACATAAATGATCAGCATTATGAGCTGAGTTGATTTTGCCATGTCCGTCTGTCTGTATATGGGACTCCTCCGATTATAGCATATAGCTGCCATAGAACCTAAACAATCAAAATATAGTTTTTGTATAAAAATTATTTTCTTTGAATTTAATCTTTTTTCGTTTTTTTAATATATAAAAGCTAAATTATTGATTTCACTAAGACGATATGAATTTTCTTGAACTTACAGCATGATCGTGGCCGCAAATATGAGGTTGACGTAAAAACGCGTGAGGAGATCACTTCATTAATCGCACATCATGTAACTGCCGTTAATTATATATATCGCAATACGAAATTCGATGGACGTAGCGAGCACCGCAACATACGATTTGAGGTTAATTAAAAAAAAAATTCACCAAAAAAAAAACTTAAATATACTTAATTATTGATTTTTCCGGCCCCAACTTACAGGTGCAACGCATAAAAATCGATGACGACTCCGCTTGTCGCAATTCATACAATGGTCCGCACAATGCCTTCTGCAATGAGCACATGGATGTGTCGAACTTTTTGAATTTGCATTCGCTGGAGGATCATTCAGACTTTTGTTTAGCCTATGTGTTCACTTATAGGTGAGTAGAACTGTACGAAATGTAATGAATAAGCAATAATTGTGAAAATACGCTTGCGCAGAGACTTTACCGGCGGCACGCTGGGCCTAGCTTGGGTAGCCAGCGCTTCTGGTGCTTCGGGTGGCATTTGTGAGAAATTCAAGACTTACACCGAAACGGTCGGTGGGCAATATCAAAGCACAAAACGCTCGTTAAATACGGGTATTATAACATTCGTTAACTATAATAGTCGTGTGCCGCCGAAGGTGTCGCAACTGACGCTGGCGCACGAGATCGGACACAATTTCGGATCACCGGTGAGTTGCAGTCATATATATTTTTTATTGTCTTTTTTTCTTGCTCTTCTTCAAACCTCAATTTATAAAATTATTCATATATTTGCAGCACGACTACCCGCTGGAATGTCGTCCTGGTGGTCTCACTGGAAACTTTATTATGTTTGCTAGCGCGACCTCTGGCGATAGGCCGAATAATTCCAAATTTTCACCGTGTTCCATACGTAATATCTCCAATGTACTCGATGTTTTGGTCGGCAATACGAAACGTGACTGCTTCAAGATATCGGAGGGCGCTTTCTGTGGCAACAAGATCGTCGAATCGGGCGAAGAGTGCGATTGTGGTTTCAACGAGGAGGAATGCAAGGACATTTGTTGCTATCCACGCATCATCAGCGAATACGACCTGTCGATGAACAGTTCCGCAAAGGGTTGTACGCGCCGCGCCAAAACGGAATGCTCGCCTTCACAAGGTCCTTGCTGTCTGTCGAACTCATGCCAGTTTGTGCCATCGAACAACCACCAGAAATGCAAAGAGGAGACGGAATGTTCCTGGTCGAGCACATGCAATGGCACCACTGCTGAGTGTCCGGAGCCAAAGCCGCGTGATGATAAAACAAAATGCAATAACGGCACTGCGCTCTGCATACGCGGTGAATGCTCTGGCAGTATTTGTCTGCTATGGAATATGACCGAGTGTTTCCTCACTTCGCAAGCGGTGCCGCATGTCGACAAGCGTCGCTTGTGCGAACTCGCCTGCCAGAATGGCAATGATACTGGCACTTGTCGCAGCACTAGTGAATTTGCGCGTCAATTTGGATTACCGGAGGGCGGCATTAACCTGCGGCCTGGCTCACCGTGCGACAACTTCCAGGGCTATTGTGATGTATTTCTCAAATGTCGCGCCGTTGACGCAGATGGACCGCTAGTGCGACTGAAGAATTTATTGCTGAATCGCGAAACTTTGCTGACTGTGGCACAGTGGGTCACCGAGTATTGGTACTATGTAGTTATAATGGGCGTAGGCTTTATAATTGTGATGGGCATTTTCATTAAGTGCTGCGCCGTGCACACGCCCAGCTCGAATCCGAAGAAGCGACGCGCTCGCCGCATTAGCGAAACGTTACGAGCGCCTATGAATACGCTACGCCGTATGGTGAGTTTGTGATATTTTAATGTTTTTACTTATGTCACTGATTAAAATCTTCAATTCACAGCAGCGTAATCATCAAGGGCGTGGTGCTGGGCCACGCAGCATACCACCGCCTGCACACGAACAACGCGGCGGCGCTGCGGCCAGCAGTCATCATCGCAGCGCACATCCACATCATTGGGACCGTCATCAGGGTGGTCATTCCGTGGTGCCGCTTCCTACCGGCGGCCCACAACATAATCACCATCACGCTGCAGGGCGTACAGCGGCAAGTGGCGCAACAGCTGCAGCAGCAAGTGGGCGTGCGCCAGCTAATGGACGTGGCTCGCGGCCGTCAACACGCCCCACGAGCGGTACACGCAGCACAACACATGGCGGGTATGCAGATGTGCCGCCACCTGGTCTTGTAGTTGGTGGTGTTGCCACTGGCGTTAGTAGTGGTGGTGGTGTTGGAGTTAGTGGTGCGCCCAATGGCGCGCTGTTAGTTAGCGGTGGTAGTGGCGGCGGCGTTGGTGGAGGACCCAGCGCTGGTGTGATAGCACGTCAGCAAATGCCGCTGCCACTGCCGCCAACCGGCGCGGTACAAGCGCAACAATTGCAGCAACAACAACAAGTGCAGGCAACACTCTCACAAGCATATTATGCGCCGCCGAAAGGTGTGTTTCCGCCGCCAGCGGCACAAAAGGCAAAACGCTCTAGCGCGCCAAAAAAGCGGCGCGCGTAGTTTTAGTTAATGTGCAAGTTTTTGCATAATTTTCTGTTAATTCGTTTTTATTGTTTTTGCGTGCGCGCGTTTTAAATGTCCTTTGATTTTTTGCGCACAAATTCAAGTATATCTTAAATTTCTTTTTTTTTTTTATTTCTTTATTTACCTGATTTTATTTAAATAATTTAATTTTCTTTCTTTCAACACTATACCAAACAAACAAAAAAATTGCTTATCATCAAACACAGCACCGGCCGCCAAACGAAATAAATCCCGTAATCCAGCAGCACACACCTCTTCGGCTGCCGCTGGCAGGCGCTCTTCCAAAGAGTCGCCGCAGCGCGCACAGCAGGCCGTCGCAAAAAAAACCCGCAAGGTCGTTTACTGAACCCATATACGTGTACCTACAGATCTCCACACCACAACAAGTGCTCTATATAGATATTTTTCCACGTTCTCACTCTCACCAAATTGGTATGACACACTTTTCCAAAGCCCTTACAAACTACTTTCATTAACTCTTTCACTTCTTTAGCATTTGTGCCACTTTTTATTAACTTCAATAATCGTATGAGCGATTTAAATTTTTTGTTGTTTTTGTTTATTTTTTTTCTTTTTGTTGTTGTATTTGAGTCTGCTACTGCAGAATACAAATTGAAATATGTAGTTTTTTGCAAACAAATATTTTGTTGTTGTCGTTTGTTTGTACTTTTTTATTGAATGTTGTTGTTTTGTTTCAGCATGTACCAGCGTTTGGTTTTGTATACATCTATGAAAAAATAATAAATGGATTATTGATTTTTTAGAGATTTAGAGATTTATTAACACTTAACATTTTTGGAAATTTGTTTTATTAACAAGTAAAAGTACTAACCAATTTATTGCATGGATATCAGTTTATATATATACATATATGTATTTATCATACTCCCTATTACTTATGATTTAACGAATGACTGTGGATACGTTTTATTGTTTGTCCTGCCCTGTTAAGTGACATTTGATAATTGGCAAGAATTGTACTTGTACAAATTTTCTAGGAAATTTTTCAAAGTAGTCATTGATTATATTATCGACTATTTTCTCAGTATTCTCGAAGAAATTATGCCATAAGTTACTGCTAGATACAGTTATTTGCAGATCGTTCCATTCTCTCGTTTTTAACGAATTGACAGTAATCATTTTTAGATAAATTTCGTGCCAGCAGACATATTATTTCTTTAAAAAATAAATAAAATAATTAGAGATTTTTTAAATACATATGCATAAAATATATTATATGAAAAACTTACCTGCTTCTTCCTTGATTACTGCCAACAACAAAAACGAAGTAAAAATGAATAAAAGTGATTTATCTTTAAATTATTCTGTTAAAGTCTTTTAAGTTTTATGTTTCAAGGTTAAAACAGCAACAGCAAATTCAAAATAGTTTTAGAAAAACACACTTTTAAAAGACTTTCTGACTGCTCACATTGTGAATTTCTTTCGACTAGGGTCGATGAATTTTGAAAGCAAAAAAAATATCATAATAGGTAGTAGTGGTTTCACCTTCGCTGGGGTTTAGTTAGGTCTTTTTTTTGGCGTTTTGTGAAACTTACTGTAGTACTTTTTATACCGTCAGAAAGTAGAAAGCTCAACGAAGAAAAAGCTCGCCGACTTTAAAAGACAAAAACAGATGACGTGTTAGAATTTTCTATTGAAAATTAGATTTATTTGCCGATATCAAGTGAAAGTAAGGTAAAAAAGTAAATATTTTAAATTAAAAAAATCGCAGTCCATATGGGGCATAAAAGGGTTAGTTTAACCTAAATTTCATGGATTTATAAAAGCTGTAGATATTTTTATTACTTACAACTTTTAACATTTAACTTTTTTATAGGCCGCGTAGTTTTGTCGGAAATCAAGTTTTAAGTCGTAAAAATTCACAATTAAATATTAGCATTACATATGCTAACAATTAATTAAAATATTAACCATACATATGTATATAAATATTTAATCTCAACTATTCTCTCTTGTCGTTCCCTCAACTTATAAGCCTGTGTTTCACAGAAAGCTTTATTATTGTTATTAGATCTCTTTAAATACACATGTAAGCGCTCTTAAAAATTTTGTTGGCATAGCAGTCCTGAACCGGGCTTCTTGTCACCCATATTTCAGTCAGTTTAGAATTGGTTAAAAAAAAATTATGAAAACTGATCTATTGAAAACGGATATAAGGAGTTTTGGATTTTTATCTGAATTTGTTTTAAAAACTGTTTCTAAATCGGTTTGTGGCTTAGGTTTACTTAGTATGTAGGCTGAGTTCAGGCCATTTGTTTACAGGAAAATAGTTATGAAAGCTTGAAAAACTTATAAGTTATATTTGTGGGTAAATCAAACAAGGAAAAAAAATTTTGAAATATTTACTTGTAGTACAAAGATTATATATATATATATATATTATAGGTAGACAAAAATGTATTCACGCTGTAGGGGTTATTTATTAAAACTCCTTTCTATTACTCTAAATCATACTGAAATTTTAAACATTATTTTAAGTCAGATATATATATTATTTTCTCGGCAACTAAATAAGGTGTGTCATAATACAATAATTAATTCTAAAACATTGAAAATGCAACACTGCAAGATATAACAAAACTTTCGTGCGTGCCAGCAATTCATTTGAAGCAACCAATTTATTATACTAACAGCAATGTATGTATGTATGTATGTGAAATTATATATTTTATAAATTTAAGTTGACAAAATGCTTGATTAAAATTTTCAACCAAATAAATTTATTAATAAATATGCTATATTTTTTACTTTTTTCTCCTCATCAACACACATGCACAGCCGTCGCTCCGCAACCAGCAAATTATAATCGGCCGCCATCGCTGCATAATCCTGAACTGTATGCGGATGCCTATGCCGCGCTGGGACGGGGGGCGTATGAGGCGACCACACGCCCACCCAACAGCAAAGTTTGACAGCAGCAACGGCAGTCAGCAGAGCAGCAGCAGCAGCAACAGCGAAAATCAACAGCAACAAAAACCACTGCAGAAACAACACAAAAATCAAATGAACTCAAATTAAATGTAAATGTACTTTTTACGCTAATTATTATTATATAAAGTAAACACAAAATATAAAAATATAAGATTAAATAAAATACAAAAAAAAAACAAAAAAAAAATGCAAAGGCAACAAAGAAATTAACAAAAAGTAAATAAAATACATATATATATATATATATTTTTTAAATTAATTGATATACAAAATACACAAAAAAGTACATAAAAATAATCAAAAAATTAAAAAATATATAAAATAATTAATTAAAAGTAAGAAAACTAAAGTAAATAGTGAAAAAGTGTGTAAACATATGTAAAATGTGAATTTCGAAGTTGAATAAATTGCGATGAAAGAAAAAGGCATAATACTGAAATATATAGTTAATACAATTTAAAATGTAAATTACAAAAAACCAAACAAAAAATTGATATTTTGTGCAGAATATTACAAGTAAGCTGTTAAGAAACATATTAAGCAATGTGAATGTCGAAAGAAATGCATAGAAACCAAACGCAAGCACGTCAAAAAGACTATAAAGCATATTGATAAAAAAAAAATGTAGACATAAATTTAATTACACATTACTGATAAAAGAAATAGTTACGTAAAGTTCAATACTACTACTAATGCAGGGCATGGAACAAGGTTCATAGAGCACAAGATTGAGCCACTGGTTAGCAAAAGAAAAATGTCTTTTATAATTTTTTTATAAGCAAATTAACATTTATAATGTTCATTGATGATCTAAATTTATTTAGTTGAAGAATTATTTAAACCTTTTTTAAATTCTGATTGTTAAACATGATACATAGCAATTACTTTTTAAATTTTTTTCTTGCTATTATAAACTTGAACAGTCAGCGCTTCAGCCAAAATTCTTGTGTATCTGTAAGCGATCATTCCTCTCCTACTAACTTTCAGCATTAAAATAAAATAATATATATCGTGCTCATAGTGGATACACCGATAAAATACCGAAAGCAGCTACCGTATACAGCGGTTAGTCTGAACAAAAATTACATGCACACTTTCTGTGGAGATGCTCCCAATATACACGAAACTATAACCGATGTAAATTGGGTAGTAGTATTACCATAAATTCAATTCGATTACAAATTGCACGTACACTTTTCGTAAAGCTGCTCATAAAATACCTGAAACTATTTAAGTTGTTGTTGTTGTAGCGGCAGAACTCCGCGGAGTTGACAGTCCTTGGCCGGTTAAAAATCCGGGTCCGTTCCGGTTACGTTGACCCGACTGTCATGGGAACGGAAACTATTTCTGAAACCATTTTACCACATGCAGCGATAATAAGTTCAAAGAAGAAGCTCGATTGTTTATTTTATGAGGTATGAGGGAAAAGTTAGGATAAATTATTATATACAATTTACAATTTCTCGTATATAATATGTGTGTACATACATGGTTTTCCTGAAAATTATTTTAATATTTGTATTTGAGTTTCGGGTAGTCGGGACTTGCTGAAACGTGACTGTCGCACAACAATTATTTTATTTCAACATTAGAGTGGTGGTGATCTTCTCTTTTATGGATCTTGGGTGTGAGCTCCGTTGTATATGAATTGCAAATTTTTATTGTAGTTGTGTTTGATTGTGTCACAATAGCTGAACAATTCGTTATTCAAAACAAAAAAGTTAGAATTTTTTATATTTTCAAAAATTAACACATTAATTACATAATACAAATGTTAAAAAATGATTTTGGTAGCAAGCCATTATGAAAAGCGTGAAGTGAGTGTAAAAATTTAATGGGAATGCATTATTTTTATATAACTAAATTTTGTTGTTTTTGAAAATTGGCGCTATGTGGGCAAGCAGCCTTGGTCTACAGTTTGTTAGAGAGAGAGAGAGAGAGAGAGAGAGGAAAGTAATTTTATATATGTATAATCGTTTTTATTACAAAAATTAATAAATGTAAAATATTTTAAAGAATCAAATTTTAATATTCAAAACTGTTTAGTTGCAAATTTTTAATTTTCATATATATAAAAGTGCGTTGTCAATATCTTAAATCACAAAATCGTTAATTAAAAGATTTTAAAAATTTCTAAAGATTAGAGTTTACTTTAAAATTCCATTATTTTATTATATTTAAAATTCATTGAAGAATTATCTAATTATATTTTTAAACTTATATGCAAGAGCAATTGAATTTGTATCTATTTGCAAAAATATGAAAAATTTAAATATTTCAAAAATTTAAATATTTCAAAAATTGAAATAAATAAAACGTTTCATAAAAACGTATTACAAAATGTAGTGCTAGGATAAATTTTAAAAAAGGTTTTCCAGACTATTTATAAAAAAAATATTCGAAAAGAGTGCTACAATGAATTATCAAAAGCCTTTCAGATTTTTTAAAAATTATTTAAAAAAAGTGCTACAATGAATATTGACAAAGCTTTTATAATAAATTTATTAATTATGTGGTAAAAATTATTTACTTATAATTTATTAAAAATACAAGATATATACTTTTTATAATAATGTCTCAATATTTGTTATTGAATTATATGCTGAGGGGAAGTGAGAAAAACTATTGTTTTTCAAAGCTTTTTCTTTATGAAAATTGAGCGCAAACTGATTGATGTTTGTTGTAATATAAATAATGCTCGAAAGATTTTCTTTAAATTTTCCCAGAATCTAGTTGTTACAAAAACTTTTATGTATATTGGAATCTAAAGTTTGAAGTTTATTGAAATCGAAACTAGAAGCAATCTTATTTAAACTTCAAAAACACCTTGCATTAAGAAAATACTTTATATATGTTTAACAGGTTTGTTTCTTTAATGCTAACCACCACTTCACTAGCCAGTCAAGTATCTGCTGGAAAAGCGTAACCTAAAAAACTAGCAGAAGAGAGAACAAATAGAGAGCGTAAAAAGCAGAAAGAGAGCTGCTAGTTTCTGCCCGTGAAATATCTGCTGGCAGGTTTAATTTTCAAACGTTGATATGATGTGATTTCAAAAAACAACATTTTCATATTTTCTTGCTAATATCTGCAAGTTTTTCGATGACTAGCTGCTACTAGCACTACAGAAACAAAACTATATATAGTAAACATGAAAATTAATTTTAAATATTTTTTGAGACAATTTCAATAGTTCATGAAATATTTTATAAAAACCGTATTTGCACAGTTTTAAAATGTACATATGTATATGAGAAAAAGTATCAGAAATTTTCGAAAAATCTACAATACTTCTTTATTAATACGTATCTCGGCTGCTGCCCTGGCACTTCCATGCTCTGATTACTATTGATTATTCGAAGATATACAATATAATTCGCTACATTGCTGCATTGTATAGACATAATTAAGATAAGCTTGTTTCTTAAAATTTTCTTCGTGAATGCCTCATTATTTTAAATATATATTAGTTTACTTTTAAATGGTTACCTTATGTTATATAATATACATATGTATATGTATAAAAAAAAATATTTTTTAAAGCATATAAAGTCATAAATACCACAGATGTTTGCTTTAATGCGTTCATTATTTTTATAAAAAAAAGTTTAAGATATAATTTAAATTTATTTATAAATAAGTTTTTACAAGTAAGTACGACCCTACATCAAGAATTAAGATAAATTATGCAATCAAACGAGTTGTATATAAATACCATACTTATCTATTTTATAAAGTAAAATTTCCGAACTGCGAACAAAATTGTAAACTTTTTACTCATTTATGTTTGTATGCTAAAAAAGTATAAATATGTGTGTTTATGTTTACCTCATAGATTTTTTAGCCTTATCTCTTTGCATTAGTTAAGTGTCAATATGAAGGATAAGTGGGCGCATTTGCATTGTAAGTGCTATTATGTAAATCCAGTTTTGATGATAAAAAAAAGTGCTTTTAGTATTTTTTAGCTATAAACATATGAAATTTTAAAGAGCTTCAAAGAGCTATATATGAAATTGTAATAAAATTTAGTAATGTATTACCCTTTGCAAATAATTTGAAATTTTATGAATGTATTCAAACCCACCTAACAGCGAAGTTGTGGAGAACTTTGTTTTTGTATTTCGTATTTTATAATAAATATTTCATATTGTGTTAGCTTATTTTGAAAATTATGTAGCTTATCACTGTCCGATATTGTAGTAAATAAATATGCTTTTATTTTATAAATTTATAAGTTTTCTTTTGGATTTTTTACAATTTACTTTATAATTGAGAATGCTTAATTGTACTCGAGTGCTTACCGCCGTGTTGAAAAAAGACATATTAAAATTGTAGTAAACTAACTAAAAATCTACACGTATATATATGTTTTTTAACCAGAAATTATGTATAATATTTTTTTATTTTTTATTATTTGTGAAAAATAATTTTCTGCACTACAAACACACACATTTACAGCTTAGAAAAATTAAATTCAACTTTGTATTTGATTCTTTATGGAAGCATGGTTTAATTTGCGGACAGACCCAATTTAATAATTTTTTTCATCTTCGTATCTCAGAAACGGGAGCACTTAGGAGCTAAGTATTCATACACTTTTACAGCTAATTTTATGGTCTTAAACTTTTCGCCAAGGTAGTTTTTGATACAAATTAAAGTTTCATTGAAAATCTAAAAAAAAAATTTTTTTTGACCTTTGAACATATTTACTAACTGTAAACTTGTTGTAATTCTGTATATAAATATGTAACTTCACTCTTGTTTCCTGTCTAATTTGACTGAACTATTTTATTTCTATTTGTGTTTTACAGCTTGGTATCTTTTCTACTTTATTATATATTATATTTTGCAGGTTATATATGAAACCGAATTTTTTTATTTCATTGGTATTAGCCCAGGCCTAAAAGCATGTCATAAATATATATAAAACTTTTGATACATGGACCCCAAACACTTTAGTCATTATTTGTATTTTTCATTCCTAAATTCTTTACTCAGGCAAATGCAGGAATGTAGAATGAATCTGAACAACTTATGTTCACATAACTTTTTTCGTATACCAAAACAGATAATTCTATAAACTTGACAAAGTTTCAGCAGTTATCTTGGGTCAGTTGCACGACTTTCTAACTATTAGTTACATATTGTTTAGACAATTAAGATACTGAAAAAACTTAGTTGTGACCAAAACCGTTTCATTTGTATTTCTGTTCGAACTGACTCCGGCGGAGACGACTTCGTAAAATCAGTGTTATCATAGTGCTTATACATACATAACTATTTAAGCATGTTTGGTATTGGCTCAAAATTTTTCAAATATAGTTTAATGTTGGAAACAGTTACCGACGTTCCGCTCTTCCGTACTTACCGCCGGTATTAAACAAAATTTGTCAAAAGTTATGTCCGTAGTGGCAACGTAGAAATCAGTTGTTCTCTTTTATTTTCATTTCACCAATGCTCATTTTCTATACATGATTTTGTTCACATTTAGCTTTTCAGTTATAATTTTTCATAATTTAAAAGCTCAAAACTAAAATTCAACTATTAAAAATAGTCTACCTATTTATATATAAATGTATTCGATTGTGATTTTGAGATAGTTTAAGAATATTTCAAATATTGTATATTCAAGTGTTTTTGTAATGACTACAAAATCCTTGCGTTGTAAGAGAGCTAGTGAGAGCAATCACCTAACTTGTGAGAGCAACTCGTTTCTATGTAAAAAAAACCCCAATTTTTGCGGATACTGCGATCGGTGGAAGCGGTGGTGTGTGTTCATTTACATCGCGCTCTCATAAGATAGGTCGTATCAGCTGATTCGGTATACGGTTTTGCGTCGGTGACTGTTTCCGTCATTAGACTCGTTACTTTTAAATGTGTTTGATAAGGAAAAACATCATTTTGTGACATCTTCAACGAAAGACTTTATTTAGGAAATTTATTATTATGGAAATTTTGCCGTTCGCTTCTTGAACTCTGATATTTGAAATTGTCTAAGTAACTTAATTTTGTCTCGAATAAAAGAGAATGGATTCCTTCTAACTACCTACCTAATTACCAATTCTGTTCCAATGTGATGCCGACGTCGGAACGAAGTTTCAAAAAGCTTCTGATAATAAACTTGTATTTAGCCATAATTTAAGAGCCACAGCAGTTCCTTGTTTGTTGAAATCAATTGCCTTTATCGCATCTCCTTATTTAACATTAAATTGTTATAAATTAGTTTACCAAATTGATTTAGCTTTCGATTCTTTAGTTATACTTTCTCAAAAACTACAGTCAGCATACTCTGACAACTGCTAGTAATGAGTTACTGTTTGATTGTGTCGACAACTGTACTAACAAAGGGTTGTCAATGGTAATACTAACTACAAGGTGTTCACAACTCAACCTGACTGTATCTAGTTCTAACTCGATTTGTTATCGATTGCAAAAATTCAACTCAAGTGGGCGGTATTGAAAACTGTAATTGGGGTATAGATATAGCGTCGAATTGTGCTAACATTATACTATCTATGCTGAGAAATATAGAATGCGAAAGTGGTCGACGGTTTTTAAAAGAAAAGTTTTTAAGTGGCACATAACATACATTTCCTCACAACCTCTCCCTTAAAGAAATATGTTGATTTGTTCAGAAGTCACAGAGGTGAAAAACAAACGAAATATTTAAATTTTCAGAATGTTTCACACTTTTAAAATTTACTAAAATTTTATTATTGTTTGTTAAGGTTTAACAACTGAGGGACTTGGTAGGATTTGGATTAATATATAGCATACTTCTTAGTATTTAAAAATTTAAAAAAAAATTCGTAAACTTATAATTATATATCTGATACTTTTGAACTTAAATTCAACTCAAACTTATTTCATTAAATGAAATTTGTTTTTGTTAACTTTTTAATGAAATCGTGTTTCGCTAAGTAAATTTCGTCTCTATACATTTTTTTAGTTTTTATTTTACACATACTCAAAAAAAAACTTAATTACTTTAAATATTATTTTTTAGTATTATAAAATTGTATTTCCCTTCATTTTGTTTTTGAAAATCTTCCACATTCTCCTCATGTTTTTTAACATTTTTGTATCATCTAACTTTCTAGTATTATAAACTGTAAAATTTTTGCTACACGAATGAATGATTGTCTGGATGTATTGAACTACTCTGCTCAAAGAAAAATGTAAAAAGCAAATAAAGTAAGGTTAGCACCGAAAGTAAACAAACAAATACAAAACGCGTGAAGAAATTCTTAAGAAGTATATAAAAATATGAAACTTAAAGTTACAAAGTATTAAAGAATAAGAAAAAAATCAAAACGCGAAAAAATAAATTTAAAAAAAATATATGCAAAAATATTCTAACAACTGTAAATATTGAACTCTAAATATATTAGGTTTACTATAAATAAAGCAAAAGCGATATTTGAATATAAATAATTATGCAAATAAATATTAATGCGTATAAAAGCTAAGTAAGTGCATATTAGCCGCTAAGTGCGAATTAAAGAAACTTATTAAATAAAATAATATTGAACAAAAAAAATAAAATAGAACCAACTTATAATAACTCTCATTAAGTGTAAGCGTACGCAAAGATATACATAGGTAAAAGTCAAAACTTCAATTTATTGGCAACAATTCATACAAGCAAACATACTTACATACATACATACAAGCAGTAATACGAGAATGTGTGTGTTAGGAGTTGATAAAAATGTATAAAAAGAAAACTACAAATACAAAAGCAAGCACATTTAACTATGGTACATATTAGTTTTTCATTTCTCAAATAGCAACAACAAGAAATATACTATTAATTTAAAGCAAAACTAGTATTAAATACAAAGCAAGTTGAAGTAATATTTGTTTAAGCTATTGAAGAATTACAATGTAAAAACTAATTAATTAGAGAACATACAAAGATCAAGACAAAATTATTACAAAACAAAAGCTTGTCGTAAACATGAAATGGATAACAATAAAAACTACTATTTTATAAAAATAAATATTGAAAAATATGAATGTGATGTCTTTTCTTGGAAATGGTTATTATTTGGGTTACCATTTAAACCCGCTGAAAGTAATTCTGATTGCATATAAGGTTTTCTTAATAATAACATTGCCACTAAATTTACTTGAACCATTTAATTGAATTAAAAATTCAAAGAGTTGACCATCCTTCTCTAAAATGTACCCTACAGAAATCCTGAAACTGTAAACCTGTTTAGTTTGATTCCCATCAAGACTTAAATTTTTGAAACAGTTGTCAATCGTAAGAATGCTTTTCACTATAAATTTCGCTAAACCTCTGTATTTGGTTACATACGCTACCGCAGCTTGCTTATTCTTTATACATAGTAGTGTTAGAACTATTTCATTTCGATCAGAGAGTCAACCTATTTTCATAAGATTACGTTCTGTGGCTCATATTCAAGAGCACTGCTATCTGAAGGCAGAAATCAAACTCTTGTAATTAGATCGCATGAATCGACGAAGCGTCTTGAACGCATCAGAATTCTGCTAAGCTTTTAATTTCTAAACACACTAGCTCACCAGCATGTTTGAAGTAGTGAGTTCCGAGATGTTTAAACTTTGATGACGCAGCGATAAGAAAAAAATTTTGATTTGTTTCTACCTCCTCTAATTCAAAATAGGTACTACAGCTGTCATCCGACGTAACCTTACCATGTTGACACCGATAGGACTCTAACGAGTTAGAACCAAATTAAAATTAGGCTAACTTTGCTGAGGATGAAGAGCTCGCTAGATCTCTGGCTATTTACTTGTACTTTGGACCTGAAGTAGAAAAGCACAGTTGAGCTTAAACCGCTCCGTATCTACTGAGAGCGGGCTAACATGGCTTTTCTTGTCAGTTCATCAACTATGAAGTTACTTGCGATTCCGTTGTGTCCTGACACCACCAGTAGTCTTAGCAGGAAGTAGCTGCATGTCGTTGATAGTGGGTTGGACATTCCTTAAATATCCTGCAGCGCACACGGTTAATGATCTCAAGGCTAAACGCGTTTTTCTTTAAACTGTGTTTTCAAAGTCGGTTGTCAAGATTTCTCGCGAACGACTCAAACGATCTTAATGAAATTTTATACAGGTCTTCAAGCTATCCTTAACAAGGTCTTGAATTCAATTACAATTATCTTCTGTCAATTACAATATTTAAAACAAAAAAACGTCGAGAAATGTTCACTAAAATTTGCGTTTTTTTTAACGTCTGCCAAAAAAACAATTTTTACTTTATTTGTTTTTTTTTTTCGTTCAATACCTAGGGTAGGGGGGGTAGGTCTAAGGTAAAAAAAGACGTTTTTTGCGAATTTTTTTCTTAAATATGGATTGAGTAATTTTATTCGGACTTTTTGTACATTACCGAGCATACTTTCGACAATATAGGGTAATTTTTTCATGCAGGAATATTGAAGCATAAGCCGGTACGGAGCTTCCCCCAGAATGTCTTGAGAAAAAAACAATTTGCGGTGTTCACCATAACTCGGCTGGAAATTATCCGAAAGAAAAAAAACCAAGAAAAATTAGTTAAATTATAATCAAATCTTTCCTCCCCCCCCCCAACGTTCTCTGATAATTGTTTTTTCATTTAAAATTTTTTGGCGGCTATTTAACTGTAAACTGTTATTTTCCACTAAAAATTTCGCCATTTTGGGGGTGGAAAACAATGTAAAAAAAAATGTTTACTAAACGTAAAGGGGCGGTATTTTATATGTCGAAAATGTGTATAAAGTTTGAAATGAATCGGTCAAGTAGTTTTGAAATGACAGTGAACACAGACTTTGAAAAAGTAGTTTTGAGAAAAACGCGTCTAAAGATTATGAACTATTGGTTGGAGCGTTAAAGGCCAGGAGATTAATAAGACATAAATAACTTTAAGAATATTGCTTCTATCGACCTAAAATTTTAAGGACATATTCTTGAAATGTTAAACAATAAGATAAGAGAAACAAAAAAAAATTGATTTTTCGAAAGCAAAAACCGTACCCCCTTAATGGTCTTAGTTCATACATGTATTTTTTTTTCTTTTTATGATCCTGTTAGAAGTTCTGCTGTCAACGCGGAAGCACCTTTTTTCTGAGGGACTGCCGGAAAGGACGTCGTAATGACCGAGTTTTGAATATTTTCCTTTGAAAATTTTACAAAATCTTTATTAAGTATGTATCTTCCGAATAATAGAAAGTTTGAGTAAAACCTTTCATTTTTTATATGAAAAAAATATTATTGAAAATAAGACGTTTTTTGCTCGACGAAACCCATGTCTCTGCTTACTTTGAACCTGACTTTTATTTAAAAAGAAAAAATAATTTTTAAAAGACTATGGTTAACGGTTTTGAAATAATTTAACATTTACTTAAGATTATTAGTACAAAATTATGTCAGTATACATATATGCGAATGCACATTGGTATACGCAGAAAATATAATATAATAAAACATTTATGGTTAATACATTTGAAAAACATTAGTTTTAAACATTCTGTTTTCCACATAAAGGCACAACGGTCTGGCAAATTCGAAATTTTTGCAGCGATAACTCGACTGAGTCAGCTTAGGCGCGTACACGTGACGCCTTCTTGCTCTTATCGGCCTTTGGTGGTGGTGGGCCACGATCGCTCTTTATGTGCCGATTGTAGAGACTACAAAAAAGAAGTTTTTAATATTATTAATTGTTATCTCAATATAGCGTAACGCCGAATTCAACTTACATTTTGTATGTTTCCGTTTTTATGTATTCGATGACGTGACTAATGCCGAGCAGATATTGCTCCTGTATGGGCACCACCCACGGATTCTCCTCCATCTTCATGACCGACTTGCTGCCCAATAAATCGAGATTACCCACTTCGGGTGGCAGCACCTGCAGACGGTTATTTTGAATATGCAATTCGCGCAGACGCGTCAGTTCGCCAATTTCACGCGGCAAATCGAGCAGATCATTGTCGCGTAAGCCGAGTATTTGCAGGTTCTTCAAATTGCCCAACTCCCTGGGAATGTGCTCGAAATCGTTGTCACCCAAGTAGAGTGCACGAAGTGTTTCGATCATAAAGAAATTACCCGGCAACACATTTTCATTGAGATTGTTGTAAGAGAGGTCCAATACCTCTAGCACGGGGAAAGCGCCAAAACCGCGTGGCAGGCTGTCGAGACGATTCAGCGAAACATTTAGTATGCGCAATTTCGGCATTGACGATAGCGATACGGGTAGCTCGCGTAAACCGTTATTAGATAAATTCAATATCTCCAAGTTGAGGAGGTTGGCAATACCCGGACTTATCATGGTGATCTTGTTGTGGCTTAGTGTGAGACGCGTAATGTAGGACATGTTGACTGAAATGAGAAGAAAATAAACAAGTTACAGAACTGATGTGTAGAAATATTATATTATATTATATAATATTTATTGCATGAGACATTTGCTGCAGCTTTCGGATATTTAGAGATAGTGATTTCAGTTGTATTTTACTCTGATTCTTAAAAAATGTATATAAAGAAGGAACTGTATTTCTGACATAAAAATTGTTTTTCAAAAATTCATCGGTCATCTGACTTCATACTAATTTGTAAACCATGCTAAATTTTTGTACAAAATTTGGTTCAAAAATATCATGTGGTTGTGTGTTACTTTATGCATTACAAATAAGACCATTTTGTGGGCTTAGACTGGTCCGATGATGCATATTCTAATTACGAAACTGGTCTTCATAAACACATCTAGTATCTCGATTGTATATAGGTGGTGTATAGATCACTAGCACTACCTACTACAACAGTATTTTATATTGGGGATTACTAATGGTCTCAGTATACTTCAAAACTCTGATAACATCACTGAGTTTGCATGTTTAGGGAACCCTGTTTGCAGTAAATGACAGCATTTCCACAATTATAAATAACATTTAAGTAATTTTAAGGCATTTTCAGTATTATAATATTTTGAATATATGTATATTTTACAGCAATAAAAATGTGAAACGAAATCAGTATTATTTTTAAAATTCATGAGGAGTGTAAGAAGTAACGATTTTTATGAAAATCAATTTGGTATGGTATGGAGTTAGAAACATTAAATAAAAAAGGATACACATATACTTCAAACTTCAAAGCTCGAAAAATACTATATTATACTGATCTTGAGCAGTTGTTTAGCGAATACTTGGGCTATTTCGGTAATGCTGAAAATATTGGCCACTCTGCTGCTTCTATGTGGCTGATGTCCTTGATTCTTTTAGCAAGGCACAAAAATATAATAAATCGTGTAAAAATAAGAAATTTATACTTGCGAATAGCTTTAAAGCCAAAAGCATTATTTTAAAAATAGGAAATTACTTTAAAAATCGTCCAAAACTATCGACTATGTTATGAAATTAACAAAAAAACTTTCAAATGTAGGGTGGCGTACGAATCGTGCTACAAAAAAAAACATAATAATTTTTTTTTTTAATCAATGCATTACATTTATATATCTTTTATTGTATAGCAAATTCTATTTTATTTCATATAATAAATTATTTTTAAAATTTATGGACCATAAATGACCTCCATGCTCAGTCAGTTAGAAAAGTATTCATTGGGGCCTGAAGGATTGAAGTCGGAATTGCCTCAATAGATTTTTGGGGAGCCAGTGTAAAGTGGAGTTTCATAAAATATTCAATTGTTTTAAAATTTTGTTGGAGCTCCGCAATAAACGGTCTGGCTATGTGTGAAGTTGCTTCATATTGCTGGAACAAAACGGAACGGAACTGAAAGGGCAATTTATCAAGTTATTGTCTTCCATTTCAATAGTTTTTTGGCAAGATTCCAGGCGAATAGGCAAATCTCGAGGGTTTAACCGGTTTGTTATTTGAACTTTGTACGGAAACTGGCTTAAGTCATCATGAATTATATGTTGTAATGGCCGTCTGCTAACTCCAAGCTCTTGGATTTTCCTGAATTGACGATGCAATAGCCGCGATGTTTCTTGAACACAAACATACGAATTCGATAGTACGGTCTTCTCGCGATACTTCCAGATTCGTCAAACCTGTCTACCAACCTCATAATGGTCCATCTACTCGGAGGAGTGCCGCCAAAATGCCGTCTGAATTCCCTTAGGACGGAAATGACAGACTGCAAAGCAGAGTACCGCTGTCTGATACAAACCCTATTTTCGGTATCCCAATCATTCATTTTTAAAAAACTTAAGTAATAACCTGCTAAATAAAAAATAAAAAGTAAGTCAATTACTCACACTGAAAAAAAGCTGTTGCGCTTTGTTTTTGTAGCACGATTCGTGAGACACCCTAAATAATAAAACAATAATATTATAGTAAAGCTTTATTAACAACCACTTCAATTTTTAACATACCTATATATCTATATATGTTTCTGACCTTAATTGAGTAATAAATTTTTAACATGTGGCGGCTGTGGCGAAGACAGACCCACCTGAATGCGGAATACGCTAAACTGTACCTTTTTTAAGGGTATATATATATATGTATATTTATATATATAGATGTATATACCACCTACCAGTTTTATGCTTTTATCAAAAATCGAGTTTTTTAGGCAAAAAACGATACAGAATTTGGGTAAAATTTAACGTTTTTCAAAACGTTTATATTTTGACATTTTTTATCGACCGGACGGACGTCTATCTTCGAATCGAGATTTTTTTTTAGGTTTCATCCACTGAGAACCACCTTTATTCTAGTGCAGTAGGAGGCCGCATGTAAATTGAAAAATATTAAATTTTTTCTTTCAAAAATTTTACTATGTAGTCTTAACATATTTATAAATATACCATTAAAATATAAAAACAATTAATGCATTACTTTTTCTTTTAAATTCCAAACGAAGCGCCTTTTACAGGCAAATGTGCCCTTTAATACACAGGCAATCAGTAATGCACTTTTCTTTAAAATAGTAGAATGCCGGCAGTAATGACCAAAGTGCATAAGATAGGTATTTATGCATTTTTTCTACTTATCGATAGAGTATTAAGAATAAATGAATTAATCCCAACCAAATCGAATATCTCACTTATTCTAAATGTTGAGAAATGTGGTGTTTTTCCTTGAAGCATTCCCCTTAATCCAATTAATAACAAAGGTAAACAAAGATTGAAAATACACTGGCTTTCAAACTACTCCAATGTGCAGAGCTAATATTTACATAGCTAATGTCAACAGAGAGCGGCTGCTTCCGTCAATAACACTCATTTGATACTCATGCGAGTGTATCTCAAATTATACTCTTAGAAAATATATTTATGGTACACACGAAGCGATACATGTCCATATCTACAAGTACATTTCATTATGCGCTCGATACTATACATACATACAAGTATGTACAGACATAAACAATGATATGTATGTTAATTACTTAATTCATTCTGAAATCTAGCCAGTGTTGTCAAGGAGACAAAATTCTTGATCATACTAAAAAGTACTAAGAATGGCGCTATAACTATTATAATGCATCTATTTTGGTAGACAGAAATTTCAATTAGAGTTAATGCTGATCAGTTATATTTACTTATGTATATATTTATATATATACTACCACAACGTAGTGGACGTAGTAAAAATAAAAAAAATCATAATAAATATTATATATTATATAATATAATTCAACTTATACTTCGGATTTCAATTGCATAAGTAATATGTGTAATTGTTTAAGGGATTACTAAGTTTAGAATACACATAGATAATATTTTAACACAAGATTATTTATTTTTTGAATAAGAAAGGTAATTTTGTAAGTTTTGTGAGGATAATAGTTTTGTTCCCCTAACGGTTATTTGTATTATATCACCTAAAATTAATCGAGTTAGATGTATATATAGATGATCAGGATGAAGAGACGAGTTGAAATCCGGGGGACTGTCTGTCCTTCCGTCCATCCATCCGTTCAAGCTGTAACTTAAATAAAAATTGCCAGTTGGTATTATAGATGGACGTATTCGGACCCATAAAACGACATTAATCGAAAAAAAATAAATTGCCAAGCTTCACTAAGTTCCACAATAAGATACTAGACTGTTGTTTGGCATTAGAGAGGGGCATCTGCAGTTAAAATTTTTTTGCAAAAGTGGGCGTGGTCCGCTCTCTAATAGTTGTATTTTACATATCTCCTAAACAGCTAAAGTTATAATAACCAAATTCACACAGGGAAAATATTTTTAGCACCCCTACCGACAATGTGAAAATGCATGAAATCGGATGATAAGCCCACCCACTCCGCATATAACGCTTTTTTTTCAATTACTTACCACAGAGGCATAAAATCTTACTTCTCGTTAATTGCGATCCTCTGGTTGACGTTTTACATTGCACATCAATTATTAAATTTTGCCTCTCCGGTTAAGTTTATATAAAGTATATTTCATTTGGTATGATTTTAATATAATTTTCGCTGATAGAAAGTAAAATATAGTTTTAAAACTAATTTAGTCTATGACCTATAATATCAAATTCGATCACGATTTCGTCGAATAATGATGTTGAATTTTTTATATGGAGTTTTGCCAACCCTAGATTGTATTTGCCCTGCTTTGCTTATTGCCAGTTGCAAGAATATTAAATGTTCGGCTACACCCGAACTAAGCCCTTCCTTACTTGTTGTATATACAATTTAATTTGGAAAGTTTAAAAATCTTAACTTTAGCTTTCGTTATTTTGTTGAACATTGAAAGAATATAATTTTTCAGCGCTATTGAGTGGTTGAATTACTTTAAACCATGAATAAACTGTATGAGATTGTGTTGATAGCCCTACAACAAAAACGCGTCAAATGCTTTTAATTCCAAATGTCAAAATCAGCCGTTTGTTTTTTGGTTTTTATTAAGTTGAAATTTTCAACTTTAAACGTAAATATCTCGAAAACTATAAGTTTCCCGCGGCTATATCTATATATATTCTTGATCTGGAGGATCTCCTCTATCCGCCCATACCCATTTTATACCCGAAAGCGTGGGACGTTATTCTAAAGCCGACCCGCTTTTTTTTCGTAAGAGAAAGCCGAAGTAACACAACCTACATAGCATATAACTCATTAATAAATAAAAGGTTTACAGCCATTTTTTTCAGCCAGTTTCTTACAGTAAATTGGCAAAATTTTAGAAAATTCTAATTTTCAGAATATTTCTTAATTCTTTATTATGCTCAAAATGTTGTATGATTTTCTCAACCTAAAAATATCACCTCTGCGTAAAGTGCCATGTGCAACAAGTAACAACCCTTAAAGTATATAGAGATATTTGATGTGCACTCTTGAACAAACAATTTTATTTTTATGACATAGTGGGTATAATATTGTGCAATTTATATGGGAATTTATGTAAATTTGATACTCTAATATTTCAAAATATTGCTTCGACTCCTATCAGCACGGTTAAAATTTGCGTTTGCATACTACTTTAGTTGAGCGCAATGGAAACGCCTACTATATCACACAGCTGTCGTGATGATCTCATAAGCATATTGAAGTTAGCACGAACCGTATGAGTATGCTAAATATCACACGATATTTTTATATATATAACATAACGGCACATAAATTATATTACAATATTTTGAATTAATCATAAAATCACTAGAAATCATTATTTACACAAATTCCAAACAATATTCTTTGGGTCATTGCTGCCCACAGTTTGAAGGCCAATGCGTGATATTTTATCACATTCATTGCGAACATTTTGTTATTAGTAGTTTGTGTACAATTGTTATTCACTTCTTTTGTTTTGCACTTACACAATCCCGGTAGCTCCTCGAAGGAGCTAATGCCCTTGTCGACCAAATCGAGCTCACGATTCTGCGTTTCACGCGCTTCATCCAACACTTTCTTCGCCTTCGACATTTTGGCATTGACTGGCAGACACGATTGACTCATTTTCGTTGGTGGTCGTTGTGCTGTATTTTGGTTTGTTGTTTGAGAACTTTTACTTTTTGAGTGAGTTTTCGCTCTCTTTTTGTGTTTGATTTTGAAGTTTGTTTTTTTGTAATTTTATTTTTTTGTTTTTCAATTATCGTTCGAACTTTTTATTTTTTTTGATTAAAATTTACATTATTTACAATATAATAAATTATAAAATACCTATACATTTTTCACATATACATACATACAGTTGCGATCAATATAATGGCAGTTAGCTAAAGTAAAACATCATAAATGATATACCATATAGTAGCTTTCTAGATAATCTTTTTTATTCAACATTAGTATCCAACATGGATGTATATATATGTATCCATATCTATTTATATATATGCATATTTGTGTGAAGTTCAATTGCCTCCTAATTCATTGAAAATATAGAATAATATACAAGTAGTAAAACACTAATTATTAAATAAAATCTAATAGATCCGGTGCAAAACAATTACTGTTTTTATTTTCTTACTTTATGAAATTTAAATGGGGATTCTCATTACAACATTTCTACAATCTCTAAGATATAATATAGAAATACGGAAAGAATCCTTTCCTGACAATAGTAGATTGAATTGGATTGAATAGTTCAAAATATATGGCCTCCATATGCCTTTGTAAGATAAATTGTAAGACAAATTAAGAAAAACATGTTTTTTAACCAATCCTAGTAACTACAAACATAAAAAGAATTAAGAGCCTTTTTCGAGCTTTGCGAGTGCTTGATTATGTCACTTGTCATTTATACAAATGTATAGGTATATACCGTGATTAATAATATCAGGGCGAAGTATTACATTAATAGCAAGATTTCGCCTGTAAATGAGAGCTCTTCTGAAACTAATCAAACCGTTGTCCCAGATGTCACTGAACTAAAGTTTTTTTTAACGCCTTTCCAGGATCTCTCTCAAGGCACAAATAGTTACCGACGCAAAACCGTGTCCCGAATCAGCTAATACGACCTACCTTATGAGAGCGCAATGGAAATGAAAACCATCGCTTCTTCCGTCCGCCTCAACAGACCGTACGGTAGAATATCCGCAAAAATTGGATTTTTCCCATAGAAACGAGTGAGCTGAGAGTGAGAGAGAAATCTCTTGCAACGCAGGATTGTCAATCTCGATATTTTGTAGTAATTAAAAAATGAACTTGAATATATTTGAAATATTCTTAAAATAAGTACGGAAGGGGGGAATGTCTGTGCTATTAGAAGCCAATCTAGCCAATTATGAAAATCTTAGGGACGATGATTTACTTCAAGAAATGTATGTGGATACAATCAGAATAATAGATAGCTACTGGTATATTGAATGAATGCACGAAATCATTATTGATCATAATGAGTACACTGAGACTAGATTGTGGACCTAATTCTCGTCGGTATGCCGAAAAAACCGATACTGCACACCTGCAAAATGGCTGATAAGCGCGCTAACTAAAACTGCTAACCACTGTAGCCCTAAAACTGCACTGTAGATTCAATGAAATTTAAATATGTGAAATTTGTATATATCTTTTTTTTATTTCGACTTTTTATTATAAACAATTAACTTTTGCTTTCATCCCGAAAGTCTGAAACAATATTGTTCTCAGGCGGCCATTTTGTTAATTTATCAAGAAAATGTTTCGATCAGACACTAGATTATTAAATAATAAAACAAAAATTTGCCTAGATATACAACGGAAGCTAAAAATCAACTTCGTAGCACGTTTTATATCTATGCTAGATGTTTCATGTTTGCAGTTACAGGTTTAAAGATTTTTTTAAAAAAGTGTACTAGCGAACTATATTAGGTACAGGCGCTCCTATTATTCTGAACACAGCTGTGTATGTGTAAAAAAAAAATATAAAAAAAAAAAATTGAAATGAATAAATCAGCATTTTGTATGAATCTTTGTAATCACTAATTATAACAACACATAACGATTCAGCATTATAATTTTTTTTATATAAAGTTTCACATTTATATAAAGTCCTCTGTATTCACAAAAATCACTTTTTATCTTAACAATTACTTCAACATTTTCTCGAAATATTCAAAAATTTTATATTGCTTTAAATTTATGAGCACCGCATTTCATTTTAAATTTGTTATAATTTTCTGACCATTTTTAAACTGGCAACGCCACCAATTCAAATATGGAAATTTCGGTTTATTCGGTGCACATTATTTTACAAGCGCAAGAATATTAATTATTATTTGAAAAATTACATCACTATTTGCTAGAATATTATATCAACTATTTAATTATTTAAAAATATTTTAAATGTAATTTCTGGCCAGGCAAAGTATATACTCCTGGGTATGAGTATATTCTTATATACATATTTGTGTGCACTAATAGAATTCATCACAGCAAAAGAAAAAATGGTTTATTTCGCATTTTCTGCTTTCCAATTAGACACAGATGTTCAAAATATATACACAATATATATATATATATATATATATGTATAGTATTAGTACATCTGTTGTAAATTATATATGCACATAACATTCAAGTATGTATATGCTTTTAAAAAGTCTACACTTTTCACTTGCAATTCATCAATCAGGTTTCACGACGCACAAATTTTCCGTTACACCAGCACACGCACACAAACCACAAATTGACTTTGAACTAATTTCGGCTATGCTTCTTCCAGGTGGTTGTTGTTGTTACACTATTTACAGCATTTTTAATTAATTCTGCATGTTTTTGCTTATGACCACTGTGAACTTCACCCATTTATGCTCTTCAATTGTATAACACACAAACACACAAACACGTACATATGTTTCTATGCTTTCGGCGAATTTTCTATTGCCTTTTCTCAGCCGTCGTCCAATCCGTTCGATAAATCAGCGCATACTACACGTTTCGGTTGTCTTACAATTCTATAATTTATCACAGAAATAGCAGCGACAGGCGCAGTCACTTCACAGTGGGCCGATCGGCGGCACAATGTGTCATACTAACACCCACCTCCGAGGCGGCAAGGTAGCGGCTACATTGGATTAGCGCTAGCATACAGACACACATACAGCAAATGTTGCCTGGCCATCTAAACTGGTTAGTAGCAACTAAATATTGCTGCCACTGCTTGCCTTGTTGTTGTTTCCGCACTATTTAATTGACAGATGATGAACATATGTATGTATGTGTGTTTGGCTGTGTGTGCGTGTGTTTAAATATCATTTGATGCCTACAGCAAATACTGACAAAACTTGTTTGACTACATTTTTCGTTTAAATCCTCATACTAAATGTCGTTGTGAAGCCACTGTAGTGGTGAATGACACCAACTGAAAAATTTATAGCTAGGGAATGAACCGTATTTTATAGTTTAACAGCTATCGAATTGGTATGTGTACATTAAGATGGGTGATTTTTATAAGCATTGGGAATAGAAATGGACAGTGGGAAAAAACCCAACGGGAATATACCCAGGTTTTTTCCCATGGGAAAACTTTCGAAAAGAATTTTTTGGAGCACTTTTGATATTGTAATATTGTTAGCAAGCTAATAGGTCTATATGATCTAATTTGACTAGCGTCTTTTTCCGGCTTTGGAATCATAACAATTGTAGGAATCTTCCAAGATGGTGGAGAGTAACCAATTCTTAACATTGCGTTAAAAATGAATAGTAAAATTCTTATAGCACAAGTTGGTAAATAGATGATCATTAAATATATTATTATTAGGGCAAAATTCTATTTCATGTGTATTTTCACAAGATGTGAAAGGTCGTTCTTCATTTATTGGGGGCTTGACAATTGCCTGGGTGTAGATAACGGCTCGTCATCATTATCATCATCTTTATGTTTGTGTAACAGGTTCCAATTATACAATGGTAAAAGCTATTTTTGCTGCCCTGTCTTTAGTCAATCTATTTTATTTGTGACTATGTATATGCGTGCTAAAAGATCGTTAAGTGATTGCTGAAGTACAGGGAGCAGTGAGAATATGTACTGCAACCCTAGTCAGCAATTTGGACCTGTCCTCTCCCAAATTACTGGGTTCATTTCTGCGACATTCTTCCATATAAATGGTCTTCTCGATAAACCCTGTTTAGCTCTATAATTGGCTAAATCAACACCAACGTTAATACCGAGCGATTGGCTCACGTCGTGTATAAACTTCATGGCATCTACTTCGTGTTCGTCTTCTAATTCAATGCCTTGCGTTCTTGGATCTAATAAATATGCCGCATAATGAATGGATCTTAAACAATTATTTGTTCGCCTAATTACAGAATTTTTAATATTTTGTTTGTTATACTCTTTTAGGATAAATATATCCTGAAAGGCAAAATTAAATGTAGACTTAATATCTTTGAAGGCCATATAAACTTGATTTATAAATATTCCTTTGTCTTCAAGTTTTAAAATTTTACCTGTTATAGGTTTATAAACTTCAGTTCGTCTGTAATTTCATTGACTATTTCATTATAAATAGTTTCCAAATGTTTTGTGGAGATAGCTTTTCTGTAACAAATATTGCCTTCAATAAGAGCTGATATAGATAAAGTTTTTTTCTGCTAAAACATGTCGGTTCATTACGGAGGTTTACTTCTCATTCATGTACCGACATGAGTACAACTTACACTGTAAAACACTTAGCAGGATATTGAACCAAAGCAAATTTTTTCGAGTGATTGAGTCCCAAGTAAAAAACTAATTTCATCGTTTTTCATAGTTAGCTTCCAAAATCGATTGCCTCTGAATTTCGAAATTGAGGTAATGAAAAATATCATAACATATAACAATGGGTGCTATCCACGTTTTCCTCTTACTACTTATATTATAATGGTGTATAACATTTACCGGTCTAGCTTATATGACAGATGCTATAAGACGTCAAAGTCGGATATACACAAAACATTAAAGCTTTATTTTTCAAATAATTGGTCCGATTTTAGAAAATTTCGAAAAATAGATAATTGAATATATTGTTGATGTGTGGTAAATATTGATTGAACAAGTATAATTTATACAGTTCGTGGACAACAAATTGCTTATATAGCCAAATAGCGCTTGGATGGAAAATTTTTCATTTGACGAGTTGTCTTCACCAAAATTTGACATGGATTATTATTTAAGGCAATAATGCATTATTTGAAGAAATTATTCAGTTCGGATCACTATATATGTAGCGAAGGAAATGTTTAAGTTCGACGCCCGAAGAATGCTGAAATGAATTCCCGGCACACGACAAAACTTTTAAACACGAAGGTGGTAATATCAGTGAATGTTCTCTCGTAATATCATGATATGAGGAGGTTGTCGTGGTACTGAGTCGGACAGCTGTTTTAGACTCGGGAAATAATAGATCATTATTACTGTCTTAGAATTTTAGAAGAAATACTTGTAATGCTTACTATGCTCAATGGAACCTACCTTTAGTTTGGCAGTTTCAGCATGACAATGACCCGAAGCTTAGCTCGGGTGTGTTCAAGACTTGGCTAGATGATAGAGGAATCGATATTATAACTTGACCGGCGCAATCTTGGGACTTAAATCATATTATATATAAAATAAGGAGGAATTATAGGAAAAAGTCCAAGAGCCGCGGTATTCAATACTGAATTCAGTTTGATGAAGATGTAGTGGAATCTATGAAAAAATCAATCAAATAAAGATTTTCCAACAAAATTCTAACCTATGGTATGCGCATTTTTTAGTTATAAAAGTCTACAATTTACGAGTGTTGAATTGAAGTTCCTGACAGTTCCTTTGACAATTGACTGCTGATAATTCTTTATATTAAGTTATTTTTACTTTTGAAATGTTTAAATTAAATTTTATTATATTTAAATAATAGTTGCTTCCTCCCAGGACATGTGGTAACACCTTTTTCTTCAAATAGCTGTGAATATAATTTTGACACTATTTTATTGGCAGTAACTGTATATTTTATAGGGCCTCCGACGTTTTCTTCTGTGTGTTACAAACTTAGTGGCAAGCTCAATATAACCTGTTCAGGGTATAAAAATAAGTTTCCAAATATCTGCCAAAGCGCATTGTAATTCTTTTGTTAGCGCGGATGCCGATCACAAGTCCGTCATATTCACTTCAGAACGCACTGTACGTACGCACTGTATGTTACGAGGCAAGTAGAGTTCCTATGTGATAAACTTTTTTTCGTTTAATATCAGTAGAAAACTGCGTTGAAATCTTGATCTTGTGGAGTAGCAATACCCACTTACTTATCACTGCATATGTATGATTTATTTTGTTTAGAACTAAAACAACAGTTCCACCACTCTTCTCTTTGACGCGGTGGTATCATCATCGGTGAGTTTACCAATGAAAACTAACTTAACTTTCACTCGAATGTGTGGTTATGTGATATTCAAAAGAAGAGCATAAAAGATTCAAACGAAATCGGATGAGCACTGGTTAACAAAAACCTGCACATACAAAAGACTTTTTCTGGATTCACAGGCAATACTTTTACTCCGACTAACCGCACAGAAATGTGGCATGAAAATATTTTCGTTAGAAAACCTACGAAAAAAGCACTCGCAAGTGCTACAGCAATGTATGCAAACGGAAACAAAAACGACTCGCCATGTAACAATCAACTTTCGAATCGAAATCCATAAAATTCAAAACCAAAAACTATTATCCTTTCTGTGAATGTGTAGTACGCGCGCCCAAGTGTAACGGTAAGTAAGGCAGTGAGTAAGTGCCGATGGGGTTGTTAGTCTGTAAAACATGCGGACATGCGACCGCAGCACAATAATGCTCGTCCGAAAACGTTTTGATAGACGATTGAAAATTACACCAACCATCGAATCGATGGCATAGAATTCATCGATTCGCTACGACTGCGAGCAGTTACATGCAACAAAACAGATGTTGCGCGTGTCGTGCAAAAGGATGTAAAATAGAAGCGCAACCACGACGCAAAGTATATGCAGCGCAAAGTAAAAGCGGGCCAGGGAATGAAATAGTTGACAAAACTTTACCACCTGTGACACCGCATGAGCAGAATGCTGCAACAGAACCAACAAAAGCTTTGAACTGCGGCAAGTGGCCCGTGGTACGAGGTACAATGGCAGGCATGATGGAGCGCATGGATTATGGAGCGCTGTACAAGTGGCGGTGTGGTGTTGTGGTAACGTTGTGACTTTGTTGCGGTGCTTGTGGTGTTAGCAGTGCCATCAACCAACACTTTCAACAAAAATGCCCAACAAGAACGAGCAGCGAGCGACGACGACGAGCGGCGACAGCACTTGGCTCAGTTCCGCTTTTTGGTCGGACTCAATTTAGCTTTGGTTTAAGTGCTGCACAGAGTTTTAGATCTTCTATCTGCCGTTTTTTATACCGTTATATTTCGTAGAGCGTGTTTAGCGTTTTGTTTGTAAACTTGTTGTTTCTGTTTAAGCGAATTTATACGCTTCATTTGTCAAGTTGCCGATTTCTGCGTATGAAAATCAGCTGCCAACTGCTTAGACAACCACAGCTTGTATTTAGACACATTACTCTTGCAAAGAGCTATCTTGTTTTATTTCACCAAAAGTACAGAGGCTTGTGTGTTTGTGCGTCCACAAGGATGTGCTAAGTTGTGCACATAATTCAGCAAATTCACAAATTGTTACGGAAATTATTTTCAAACGATTTAGTTTGGAAAGCAATAAGTTGCAGCGTTTATTTATTGGAAATTTATGGGAAATTGAATGCATGAGATTATTGGACGTTTGAAGCTAATAAAAGTAATGAAGGTGTGCTGTGCAGCACGATGTTAAGTGAGCAAGTAGTTAGTTATGTTAGGAGTAATGTAGAAGAGTGTTTACGACAACTACAACCGAAATGAAATTAAGTAATACTGGATGAATAACACGTGGCATAACAATTATGTTTTGAAAAAT